CTTCCTTCTTTCTTTCCTTTTTCTTTATGTAGTCTCCAGGATCTTTAAAAAAAACATTCACTTGATCTTGTCTCCACTTTTTGCAAACTCCTAGAAAATGCTGTCTACAATTATTACTTCCACCCTCTTGCCTTATATTCACTTCTAAACACTTTATAATATAGGATAACACAATAAGACATGTAATACAATGCTCTCTCCAAGGCCACCAATGATCTCTTTTGTTGTAAAATTAACTTCCCTCAGTCAACAAACATTTATTAAACAGCTACCAAGTGCCAGGCACTATATTAAATGCTGGGATACAAAAAGGGGCAAAAGACAGTCCCTGCCCTCAAGAAGCTTATAATCTAATGGGGGAGACAATAAACAAACTATATATAGGATAAATAGGAAAAAATTAATAGAGGGAAGGCACTGGGATTAAGAGAGGTTGGGGATGGCTCCCTGTGAAATATGGGATTTTAGTTGAGGCTTATAGGAAGGCAGTAAATAGAAATGAGCAGGGAGAGCATTCCAGGCATGGAGAATAGCCAGAGAAAATTCCTGGAGCTGAGATGGAGTGTCTTGTTTATGGAACAGCCAGATGGCTGGTATCACTGGATCAAAGAGTAGGTGGTGGGGAGCAATGCATAAGACTGGAAAAATACGAGGGGGCTAGGTTTTGAAGGATTTGAACACCAAGCAGAGCATTTTATATTTGATCCTGGAGTCACAAGGAACCACTGAAGTTTATTGAGGTGACATGGTTGGAGCTGTGCTTTAGGAAAATCACTTTAGTGGCTCCATGGATTGAAGAGTACCCAGAAGGGAGTGAGGTGAAAGATGTCTAGAAAGGTAGGAGCGGACTAGGTTATAAAGGGCTTTGAATGCTAAGCAGAGCATTTTGTATTTATTCCTGGAGCCAATTGGGAGCCTTTGGAGTTTGAGTGTGTATGCGTGTGGGTGACCTGATTGAGACTTGTGCTTTAGGAAAATCATTTTGGTAGCTCCATGAATGATGGATTGGAGTGTGGTGAGACTTGAGGAGGCAGATCCACCAGCAGGCTATTGCAATAGTTCAAGAATGTGGTAATGAGGGTTTGCAAAAGAGTGATGAATGTGTTAGAAGAGAGGAGAGAGACATATTTTAGAAATAGTGCAAAGATGAAATTGACAGGTCATGGCAACAGTTTGGTTATGATAGGTGAGAGATAGTGGGAAGTCAAGGATTCCATTTAGGTTGCAAGCCTGATGGACTGTAGGCCTCATTTCTTTCTGGTGTTGCCTTCTACAGCAATAGGAAAGGTAGGAAGGGAGGAGGTTAGGGGAAAGATAATGAGTTCTGTTTTGGACACATTTAGATTAAGATGTCTACTTGATATCCTGTTCGAGATGTCTGAAAGGCATTTGGAGATGTGGGATTGGAGGTCAGCAGAGAGGTAGATTTGAGAATCATCAGCATAGAGATGGTAATTAAGTCCATGGGAGCTGATGAGATTCCCAGGTGAAGCAGTATAGAGGGAGAAGAGAAGAGGGCTCAAGATAGAACCCTATGGTTAGAGGGCTTGCTCTGGATAAGTATCCAGCAAAGAAGACTGAGAAGGAGCAGTCAGATAGGTAGTAGAAGAACAAGGAGAGGGTGGGATGTAGGAGAGAGTTATCAACAGTATGAAAGACTGCAGAGAGGTCAAGTAGAATGAGAACTGAAAAAAAGGCTTTGGATTTGGCAACCAAGAAATCATTAGTAACTTTGGAAAGAGCAGTTTCAATGGAATGATAAGGTCAGAAGCCAGATGATAAGGGATTCAGAAGAGAATGAGAGGAGAGAAAATGGAGGTACCCACTGAAGACAGCCTTTTTGAGTTTAGGTAGAAAGGGCAGAAAAGATATAGAATAATAATGGAAATGGAAGGATCAAGTGAAGACTTTTTCAGGATGAGAGAAATACAGGCATGTTTGTAGTCAGTTTGAACCAGTAGAAAGGGACTTGAACATAAGTTATAGAGTGGAGATGACAGAGGAGGCAATCTGTTGGAGGAGATGGGTTGGAATGGGATTGCTTGAGTGGAGAAGTTTAGCCTTGGTAAGGAGTAAGGCCACTTCATCCTGTGAGACAGGGGTGAAGGAGGAGATACTGGCAGAAGGCATCTGAGTGATAGAAGATAAGGAAGACGGAAGAAGGAGCTCCTGATGAATGGCCTCATTTTTTTCTGTAAAATACTCAGGAAGGACCTCAGCTGAGAGATTGATTGTAGGGGAAGCTATGGGTGGTTTGAGGAGAGATGAAAAGGTTTAGAAAAGCTGCTGTGGAGAGTGACATAGTGAGTTGATGAGGAAAGTATATATTAGGATTGCCTAGCAGCAGTAAGGACCAGTTGAGGTTGTATGTTTTATTATATACATATATATATGTATATATGCATCTATCTATCTATCTATCTATCTATCTATCTATCTATCTATCTATCTATATGTATCACACAGTTGTGTGACTTTTTTACACCTTCATTAAGTAGCACATCTCTAGGAGTGAAGGTGTCAAATGGTAGGCATGATCCAAAGCTGAGTCTTGGCAGGGAGTAATTGGTGATATGATAAGGGGACTAGGGATTCAAGAGAGAACAGTGTAGGAGTTGATGGCGAAAAGAGGAGAGAGTGTCTAGTACAGGAGAGATGGCCTGGGAGAGAATTGAGGGGTCAAGGGATTGGAGGTCATGGTGAAGATGACAAGCTGGGTTTTGTAAGGGAAGGCATAAGGAAAGGTGAAAAGCTAATAGATTATGGTCAGAGAAGGAGATTTCAGAATTCTGGAACAAGGCAGTGGTACATTTGTGGATGATGGCAAGATCAAGCGTATTACCATCTTTGTATGTGGCTGAGGCGGGGTGGAGGAGTAGCTCATGGAAAGTGAGTAGGTTGAGGAACTGAGCTGTTAGAAGGTTTGAGGGAGAGTCAATATGTATGTTGAAGTTTCCTAGTATGAAGGCAGTAGATTTGGAGAGAAAAATTGTGAGCCATGAACTAATTGAAGAAGGAAAGGATAGATACCTCAAAGAGATCAAAGACAAAAAGAAAGTAACCATATGTTCAGGAATATTCATAGCAGCACTTTTTGTTGTAGCAAAGAACTTGAAAATAAGGAGCTGCCCATCAACTGAAGAATGGTTGATGAAATTATGGTAAGTGAATGTAATAATAAAATATTCTTCCTCTGAAAGAAATCATGAAAAGAATGACTTCAGAAAAACATGGGAAAACACATGAACTGATAGAGAGTGGAATGATTAGAGACAGGAGAACAAGTCATACAGTGAGTATAACATAGTAAAGAACATCTTTGAAAGTCTGAAGAATTCTTATTAATGTAATGGTCACCTGATGGTCCAGAGGACCAATGCTAAAATACCATTGGTCCCTAGAAGAAATGTTGAAAAGAATGAATTCAGAGAAACATAGGAAAATAAAGAGGTCGTAGAAAAAAATTATACAGTGATTACAATAAAAGAAAAAAAAAAGAAAAACAACTCTGAAAGACTTAAGGATTCTGATCAATGCAGGGGCCAACTGGGGCGCAGAGGAAGGCATCCAGGTAAAACACCTCTTTATTTTCCACATGGCAGATCTCCTAGATTTCATGATCTTAACCACTTCCTTCCCACCTCCCTTTCTTTTAAAATCTCTGTTACAAGAAATGTTCTTTGAGTAGGGGATCAGTGAAGACTATGCACAGAAATGAGCATGGTGGTGCGTAGTTTATAATCCTAGCTGCCATGACACTGAGGCTGGAGATCTCTTGAACTTCAGAGTTCTGACCTCAGTGGGCTAAGCCTATTGGGGTCAAATAGGGCACCAGGTTGCCTAAGGGGGGTTGAGCTGGTCTACACTGGAAATAGAGCTGCTCAAAGTTAATAGGATGTCAGGTGAGTAGCCCTTGCACTTCCAACAGGAGAGGTGGGTGGAGGAGCCGAGACTCACAGAATCTTAAAAAAAAAAAGAATTTGATGAAACAACAAAAAGGTATCAATTAAAAAAAACCAAACAGCATAAAAATAATCATTTGCAAGAACTTGTAATGGATATAGCCTGGAAAAGAGAAAACTTAAGAGGACACTGCTCTTTTTATATAAGAGATTAGATTTGTTCCATTCTTCTGGCTAGCTAAGACCAAGGGCAGCAGACAGTTACAAAGGCAATTTTAACTTCACACACACAGACACAGACACACACACAGACACACATGACTTCCCAAATATTGTTGTTTTTCAGTACTATTGGACTGTTTGGGACCAGGTGGAGCATACTGTTCATGGGGTTTTCTTGGCAGGGAGTCTGGAGTGGTTTGCCATTGCCTTCTCTAGTACAGGTGACTTGCCCAGGGTCAGACACAGTAAATGTCTGAGGCCAAATTTGAACTCAGGTCTTCTTGACTTCTAGCCCAGCACTCTATTCACTGATCTATCTAGCTGCCCCAAAGATTAGATTTGGAATGGGCTGTCTCATTGGCCATGGGTCCTCCATGACTGTTGTAGTCTACTTGGGGATATTGCGATCAAGTACAAGCTGGCCTACATAGCCCCATAACATCTCTTCCCGTCTTGGGATCCTGTAGATTTCTAATATCCATCCTGGTTCCAAATCCTATGATCGCATGATCCTTCCAGCTCTGACCTCCTCTGATCTCCAAGCCCCACACACAGGGATGCCTTGGAAAAGGCAACCCGGGGCTAAAAGGACCTCAAGGCTGGCTCCCTGGGCGCAGGGTCCTCTGGGATCTGTAGTGCGGGGCGGGGCCTGGGGGACTACATCTCCCAGCGGTCCCCGCGCTGCGGTCGAAGCACCAGCTTCAGCCGCCTGTTCTTCGGCGGTGCTGGAGGCGCTCGGGGGGCGAGTTTCCTATTTAAATCCGACCAGCGAGGAAGATGGCGGCGGGCGGTGAGTGGAGATAAAGGAGGAGGAGGAGGAGGAGGCGGCGACGGAAAACGGGGCGGGGGCGAAGGGTTGAGGGAGGAGGAGGAGGACAAGAAGGAGGAGGAGGAGGGCGAGCCCCGCCGCTGGCGTCCCCGAGTCCTCGCCCCTCGGAGCGCCCTGAGCCTCGGCAGGGAGGGGGGTCGTGTGTGGTGTGTGTATCTGTGTGTGTCTGTGTGTGGTGGGGGGGCGCGCCCGCGCTGCCGGGGCGACTGAGGCGGCCGGACCGCGGCCGGGAGGAGGAACTGAGGCGCCGACGGCGGACAGTCGGACGCACGGACTGGCAGGAGCCGAGGTACGGGGCTGTCGCGGGCCGGGGGCGTCCGGGAGCGGCGCGAGGGGGGCGCGGGGCGCGAGGGGGGCTCTCCCGCCTCTCGCCCCAAAGTTTATTTTACCCCTGCCTTTCCCAGATCTGGCCACTTAGAAAGCAGCAGTTTCCCCGTAGGGGAAGGCGAGGAAAACCCCAACAAACCTGTTGGGGCTCCTGTGCCTTAGCCTCCCCCCCCAAAGGACAGTTTTGCGCCCAAGTGGCCCATACTCCAATTTTCTGCCCATCGAGTCATCACCAGAAAGGTGGGTCCCTGGCTAACAAGGAAAGGGAAAGAAGCGGCCACATAAGTCCGAGTTAAATTTGGGCTTTGGCCATAATTCTCCCATTTTCTCGGGCTCACAAAGGTTAAAAGTTTTGTTTTAATGATTAAACACACTGGGGCTTCTTTAGTTTGCCCATATTCCTAAAATGTGGTCTTTCAAGTCGCTATTTCTAGTCCATTATGGAAGACGTTGTAGAGTGACGAAGTTGTTCAAGATGAAGAGGGTGGGGAAAAAAGGAAAAGTATTGAGTTTGTGATAGAATACCCATGAAGTTACCCAGGGATTCTTTCCTTAGTTAAACCCTCTCTCTCGCACTCTCGCTCTCTTCCCCCTTTTCTATGGGGAATTATTTTGCATTTTTGAGCTGCACTTGAAACCAACCTGTTTTTGTGACTAACCTCGTACTGTAAGAAAATGGGAAGGCAAAATACCAGCTGTCTCGCTGCATTGGTTTCAAAAGGAGTTGAATGAGATGAGGGCAGTGGTAGTATTGAGCAAGATTCTCGAGTCCCTCTTTCATTAAGAGAAATAAATGTCCAGCTTAGAATACTACACCGAATACTTACTGCAAGTGTTCATTGAAATGTTTCATTATATTAGAGAATAATTTTTAAAGAAATCATCCATTTTAAGAAACCATCCTTGCAACGTATACACAGACACAACATATTCGGTTAAAAAAAACCCAAACCTGTTAAGTTTTTGGATAGTTTGTTGGCTTTGGAAATATTTAATCTGTTATATTGAACTGCTCGTTTAAAATCTTTCTATGCACATCCTGTTCAATATGTAGGTAGAGCAGAAAAATGAAGAGGGAGAAAAACATAATTAGGAATCTTGCATTTTGAATGATTTTTTACCTTAAATTGGCAGTTAAGCTACAAAAGAGCTTCTGAATATTCCACACCTCTTCTAATCTTCTAATCATTTTATAAAGAAATAACATTTGTGGGGCTTCAGGAGGGTGAAGACACCCTGCCAGTGCCCATTGTTTGTGTGTAAGATGAACCCTCTGTTGGTAACGTGTAAAATGATATTGAACACTATACTCTCCCTGACACTGCCGGCTGCTTCAGGTCCTGCATTTAAATGAGCAGTAATCTGGGTTGCCCTGATCCTGAGTGATCAAATATTTTGTATTATGTTGATGGGAGAAGTGAATTAATTGACTATAATCATATAAAAAATTAATACAACTTCCTACTCAGCAGAGCACAAGATAGGAAGGTGAAGATTGTATTATATAGATATGATTTCTGGGATAGGTATGTTAGGAAATACTTGTTTCTGGCATTCCTTAACTGCAGTCTTTTGAAAATGCAGAATAGTTCAAGAAAAATGTAATTTTGTATCTGTGGACTGCTGAGTTCTGATACAGAAACCTCCTCCTTTTTGTGTATTTCAAATTCTGAGACTGTTGCATTATAAATCTGATACAGATTAGAATTTCATTTTCAACAAGTTTATCACAATGAATTGAACTTGGAAGGCTATAAAACATGCTTATATAAACAAAAATTATATATTATTTCCCAGTAGTATGGAAATGAGTATATCAAGCATGGTTTTCTTGAGTTGTGTTTCTGTGTAGGAGATGACAATACTCTTTCATGCTCTTCCTCCACCCCTCCCAAGAAAAAACGCCAAATCCCATTCAAACCTTCCCCCAAAAAACCCCCACAGATAGATTTGAGTTTACATAAGGAATATGATGATGATCACTTTTTCTTAGGTGATGTTTTGATGCAGAAGTTAACTACTAAAATGGTTATTTACAAAGGCTCCCCTTGCATTAACCAGGTGTATACTTAATCAAAGATATGAAATAGGCTTACCAGCAGGGTAAGATGTCAAGAACTTTGGTTATTGTAAAGAAAGACAAGGGTTTAAAAATTTATCCATGTGTTTGTAGAATCTTTTCCCTTTGATTTGTGACCATTACATTTTGAATAAATCTTTTAAGAGGATCTCTTCAATTGTTAATTTTTAGCCTGGGCAATAGGGCAACATAAAAACTCTATCTACTTGACCATAATTGGTTGTGAAAGTAATGCCTTTATTTAGTATTTCTAATACTGTTAGGACTGGATGATTTTAAACCTTGCCTAGAGCATTTACAATCCTTTTGAGAACTTTTAGTTTGTTGCAAAGATAGCTTCCAATGGCTGTCTGTCTGCATGGCAAAACTGCTACAATTTAATACAATTGTTAGTTTGTTAATAAGCTGCCTAGGACTGGAAAAGCAAGAGTTGTTGAACAAGATTGAAAGTGCACTTAAGACTTAATAGGCCTTAACATTAAGTCTGCTGTTACTTGTGTTTAGTTTGAACTTACTTTTGTAATGTACTATCTCCAATGTTTCCTCTGTTTTCTGTGATATTAAAAGGTGTAGTGTTTTGAGCAGAGAGGACTCGAGTATGAATGATTCTTTTTTTCTTCTTCCTCTGTTAGAGTGCGATAGATGAAAGAAAAAGCTACAGGTTAACAGCCCTGATTCTCAGGAGAAGGGAAAGCTGTATTGAACTTTGGAAGTCTGCTCATTTTCTATTTTATAGAATGGTTTTTAAAATCATTGCATTTTATCTTCAAAAGCTAATTTTATTAATTTTGCTTGTCATTCTTAGAGTTGAGCAATCTTGTGATTGGTATAGTATTGTTTATTGTAAATTTTTTTCTATAGTTGTTGCTGTGGCTCATTGCCTTTCTGGGAGGAATTGATGACTTTTTTTATTTAACATAACTCTCTCCTAGAAGTTCTTCCTTAAATTTTCAGTAAATGGGATTCTTAATCTAACTTTAATTTCAATCCACTAACATGATAGAATTGATTTTAATTTATTCTCCTTTCTCTTCTTCTGGTGGAGATGTTAAATGATCAGTGAAAGGGCCAAAAGATTCCCAGCAGGAGTGGAGAGAACAGGCAATGGCTAAGAGGCTGACTTATCCACAAAAACTAGATAATCTGATTCCAGATAATTGAGAGTTGTGACCCTATTTGATCTTTCTCAGCACTAACTCAGTTCCATATCTGTCTTCCTGCCTAGGATAGTTTATGATGGGCCAATAATAAAGATTTAGTTTCTTCTCAGTAGTGCCAACTTTGTAGCCTAGAGGCAAAAGAAGTAGTGTGATGAGCTGGCTGGCAAGCAGGTTTTACCTAAAAACAAAATTAACCCTATGCAAAACTTCTAATTGCTTCCACCATACCTATGTAACTTTTCCTCCCATCTTGCACCTTAATGTTCCGTGTTACTCCTTAAAAAAGCTTTCTCCTCCTCCCTAAAATTAGAGAAGACAATAGCTGTGTGATTTTGGGCTGGTCATAATTTTTCCAAGTCTCAGTGTTCTCTTCTGTAAAATGGTTCATGACATTTGCTTTATTTACGTCACTGAGGTTTGAACCAGGTATTTTGGAAGGCCTTTAAAGAAAGGTTGTGACGAGATTAAGCTAACATGATCTCTGAAGGTATTCACTGGTGTCTACATTATGAAATACTTCATTTTCATTGCTTAGAGACTTTAGATGAGTATTTTGAAGTCCTAGTCTTTGGAAACACTTTAGAATATATATTCCCAGAACTCCTAAAGTTAACTTTTGATTATCCATATTAATGAAGGTGAGGCAATATTAAGCTCTATAATACAAAACAGTGTATAATCTACTCTTCCCTGGGTTTTACTACTGCTAGTATTGAGTAGCAGCACTGAGTTGGTGGATGGGTAGATGAAAATGCTTAGATTTGAGGGTAATCTTCAATTAGTTCAAATCTCAAATGGGTAATTGAAAACTGAGAATACAGGTTAAATACTCATAACAAAGTTCAAGGGACTATCCAAATAATTTTGTTGTTTGACTTTATTTTAATATTACTTGACATAAGTAGGTTAATGGTTGAAATCTTTTTGTTACAAAATACTGAGCTTTTTAAAATGATATTTTAAATAGATTTGAAATAGTTGAGTTGGCAGTGAGATTTTGCCTCTTCTGTGTTTAAAAAAAAAAAGAAAAATTCTTTGGCCTTTTGAATGGCCTGGGGTCCTACTATGCTGGGCCAACAGTTCTTTATCCTTACTGCTTATTTCTATTAGTGCCTTGTTTAACCTATTGTTTTGACTTTGTTGCCAGTAAGTTCATTAACAACTGTGATTTAAACCACCACCTTAGAGCTATGGGGAACCATCCTGAGGACTTTGCATTTACTGCTGGTTTCTTATTTTTGACCCATTTAGAGATCTTCCACCCCCCCCCTTGGCCTAGTGAAGAGGCTTGTCATAAAGCTAACATTTATTAAAAAGTAATAATAAACTATATAGTTTTACATTTCCTATTGTAGCTCTGTATAGTTTGAGACTTTAATTCCTTAGATCTTAGTATGGTCATATGTAAAAATAGAAGTACTGGCAATTTGCATAGCTTGACTATAAAGGCATTTCACAAACTTCCTTCATTTAAATTAAGCAGATGAGAAAAATACTATTCCCCTGCTTAGATAGCTGTAAGTTATGCTTTCTTCTGGACTCCCTATTTAGGATGAAGGCCTCCATCTTTAAGGTTGGCATTTTTAGTTTGCCTTAGCAATTGTGATTGGACACAGCATTTTGACAGGCTATTTTAGAAGTCATTCTTTTAAATAGATGTTCCATGAAGGAGGGAAAATCTGAAAGAGGGAATTTCAAAGCAGCCCAAGACTGTTTTGAAAG